GTTTATTGGACAAGAAGATCTGAGCAAGGAAGGCTTTGAAGGTTTTCAGCAACAACAAATTTGTTTCTTGCTTATTTCTTCACGGCTGTGATGAACCCAAGTGGCATGCTTATTCTTAATGCCTTGCCATCATGGGGCAAGAAATCTTGCTTGTTTTGGATGGTCCCCAAGAGATTTATGAGTAGTCTAGATGATTCTCTAGTCCCTATATAAGGCAAAAAGAAGAGCTCTAAGCCCATAAGAAAGTGCTTGATATAACATCTGGCCTTCTAGGCTAGATTCCTAGCATTTGGCCTAGATATTAGTTTAGTGTCGAAAAGGACATAGTTGTAAAAGGAAAATGCTAGGTGTATAACGTTTTAAGAAGGACTCAATGCTTATCAACTTTACATTGTAAATATTAAGATAAATATTATTTTATAATTATGTTATTTTAATAAAATATTATAAAAAAATAAAAAAATATTTTAATTTGTACTTTAAAAATATGATATTTTAGTTTTTTTAATAAAAATTTATTGAAATGACATAGTTCTAAAATAATTTTTTTCTCAATCTTTAAAAAATAAGACAAGTAGACACTATTCACACACACATTTATATATTTATACACTATACTATAGTATGTCATTTTGGTATTAGCTCTTTTTTATTTGAGAAGTCACACATAATATTATATATATTTATTATTTATATTACGATCATATTGTGAGTAATGTACAATATAATGTAGCATAAGCCATTATAAAATTTTAAATTTCATCCATTCTATAAAATATGGTTTACAAGTCTTGGTCTTCACTGATGATCCTCCTTGAGAGAGTAATCCATAAATTAATTCCTTTGATTCGTAAGTGTATATGTTGCATTTTTCTGATCATTACATTTTTTAAGGACTTCTGCCCTTTAGGTTTTTTATTCTAAAATTGTAACTTATTAATTAGAAAGTTTCATATTGGAATTAGTGAACTCTAGAAAATGGGATTGCTCCCCCATCCACTAAAGTGCCTAAAACTCTATTTGATCCATTTATTTTAACAGAAATTTTTTTTTTGTTTCTTTATTTAAGAAAATCTTTTTTTAGTCTCTAAAGTTTATTATATTTAATTCCTTTTTAGCCATTTTATTATCTTTTTGCACATAACATATTATGCATTAAATGATGGAAATTCTAAAATAAAAAGACTAAAAGAGGCTTTTTATTTTTTTAATATAGAGAGACTAAAAAGGAGTTTTTTTAGTCCATCTATTTTAGAATTTTTGTCATCTAACACATGTATAAAAAGATAATGGAGAAACTAAAAAGAGGTTGAATAATAAACTTTAAGGATTAAAAAAAAATTTTTTTAAGTAAAAAGACTAAAAAAAGAGTGTTTTTTTTTTTGTTAAAGTAAAGGGATCAAAATGAAATTTTAACCAAATAACATTATAGAATATTAAATTAGGTATTCTGTACAATTATCATGATATTAGTATAAAAATTGATGAAGACTCATTTTAATGCTTGATAGAGTTCCAATTGGACTCAAACTATAGAAAACAATAGTCAGGGATGCAAATTGACTGTTCAATAGGGATATGGATGCGAGTCATTGGGTGGCCTCTATCCACTGGGTCATGGGAACACTGTTTATGATAGGACCTTAGCCATGAGCCTCTCATGTTTACCATTGACTTTTTGGTTAAAAAGAGCAACAATTGAAGGAAAGGTCCTCTCTATGAAGTAAGGTCGTCATCTTTCTACCAAAAAAAAAAAAAAAGTAAGGTCGTCATCAGCTTGGCTTGCTTGAAATTAAAATTTAGCCACA